GCCCTCTGGCAGTGGGAAGCCATTCCCCGTTGTCCTGTCCCTCCAGGCCCTTGTCCAAAGTCTCTGTTCAGCCTTCCTGCAGGCTCCCTTTAGGCACTGGGCAGGGCTCTAAGGTCTCTTTAAGGAACTTAAGGGAAGAACCCCACCTCCCCAAACTATCCAGGGAATTAAACCCTTTCCCCCTGCAAAAGCAAGATTTGGGATTTTAGCTTATGAAACAGAATTCTGAGGGATGCCCTGATCCCATGTGGGTCCTGACACACGCGAGAGCAACTCCAGCAGCGCACAACTCCTGAATTTCCTGGGAAGCGCCAGATGCTGAAGTTAAACTGGAATAAACTCCAGCCCTGAGCTGCAGACCCTGCAAACAGCTCCCCAGGACACCGGGGAACCCCCAGCTCTTTAGCTCTGCACAAGCAGGGAACTCACTCCTGAGCATGTGGGTTTACAGGAGTGTATGGACACAGAGCTAAGGGCTCTGCAAGGCTCAGAGAGAAGAGTGGGAAGGAAATCCTAAACTAGGAGGAAGAGCCTTTGAAGGAGCAGTGAGGATCCCACTGCAGGAGCAGGCAATGGCACATTTCCCTCAGTGTCTCTGAAGTGAGGCAAACTCGGTGTGACAGGGAGCCCAACAGCCCTGGCAGGGGAGAACCCACTGCTGGCAACACGGGCCTTTTCCTTGGCCCAGACCCACATTCCAAGCTCCCAGTGCTCCGTGTGTGCGGCACACACAGCACCAGCTGCGGTTCTCACACTGCACACACACAGCTGAGGCTCTGCTCAGGTACCTGCACATGCCACCCTGGGGAGCAGGGGACAGCAGGGGACCTCTGAACTGCTGCCTGCACAGCAACACAGTCAGCGAGAGCATTTTACATATTCCCTTTCCTGCCAGTCCAACCCCCTCCCTAACTCAGCACCAGGGCACTCGGGGAGAGCACAAGACACTGTGAAAAACATATTTTGATATCCTGTAACACAGAAAAGTACAGTTCTCATTGCCAAAAAGATCAGTTTGAACCCTGAGTCACACATTTAATATCTTCCCAGTGTGTTTTTGGCCGTGCTGGTGCTCTCACAAATACCTGCTTGCTTTGACTCTTGCTGGATGATTTCCTCTGGCAGCTCATTTCATTTTAATTACATGGCTTGAGAGAGTATTTCCACCCACCACTTCCCAAAACTCCCACTTTCTAAGTATCAGTGAATGTCCTTTTGGGCTCACAGCGTGAGACATCACACAGTTATCCTGCCATACTAGTTCCTCCTAAGGAACTGCCAAATGGTGTTAATTAAGCTTTAACATGTCCAAACGGACCTTTTTCACAGCTGATCATTCACTAAACATTGGTGTGCTGTTAAGTGTTTAGAAATAATTGAATGCTCTAAAGGAATAACTATTACCTGTTCTGAAGGAGGGGTGCACTGTTTCCAGTGCCTTTCTATGACCTCTGTTTTTGAGAAACGATGGTAAAATTAGCTTTGTAGTGTTTTCTGCTAAAGACAGACTACTAGAGTCCTGTGACAGAATTCTATAACAGATCTTGGCTTCACAGCAGCAGATGTAGTTCTTTTTAACAAACCAGTAAATATTTTCGGTGACTAGAGAGCTGAGACTTTTATAATCTGACCCAGGTTCAAAAGGTAAGCAGGTAGTCAACAGGTACCAGGAAAGGAAACACCACCTGTGTGGGTTTCTCTACTGCTAAATTAGAGAATGTGGATGCCAGCTACTCTTATAAAAACATTCTGTTCTGAGCAATACTGTGAGAACTTATCCTGTCATAACACAGGTTAACCTGAGAACTGAAGATTTCTGTTTGAAAGAGACTGGTGAGTAAAAGTGATTATCAAGGGCAAAGTCAAGATATCCAAGATGAGTAGCATAGAAACGATAAATGTAACCGCACTACATGCTCCTGTACTGCATGAGATGGTCACGCTGCTTCATTAAGCCATTCACATATTAGCACATGCAGCGTCCTCAGCATTTCGCACCCAAAGAGGCCGCCTAGAAAAAAAGAAAAGAGAAAGTGGAAATAAAACTTCGCACCAGGCGACTTAAAACAGCAACCGAAACCACAAGCCAGCAGTGCCCTGCGCCCCGGGGACGGGTCACGCCGGGCGAGCCGAGCGGCCCCGGGCAAAGGGCCGGCCCGGCCGGGGCGGGACCGGCGGTGCCCGCGGGGAGCACGGGCAGGGGGCGGCCGGGCTGGGCCGAGGCTCCGCCGCGCGATGGCCCCCGGGCAGCGCCGCTGGGCCCCGGGCAGCGCCGGCGATCCCGGGCAGCGCCGCTGGTCCGCCCGCGGCTTCCCCCTCACTCCGTCCCCTGTTCTGCCCTGCCCTCCCTCCCCGCTCGCGCCCCCCCCGCCCGTCCCGCGCTCCCCCTCAGCGCTCCCGCTCCCCCCTCACCTCAGGGCGCGGCGCCTCAGCCCGGCCCGGCCCGGCCCGGAGCCAAGACCGCGCAGCAGCGGCGGCCGCCACCGCCTCCTCCGCGCGAGGCCCCTGGGCCGCGGCGCCCGAGGCGGCTCCCGGTGCCGGTGCCGGTGCCGGTGCCGGAGCCGGAGCCGGAGCCGGCCGCGCTCCCCCTCCCGGCCCCGCGCCGCTCGTTCCCGGCCTGCCCCGGCCCGCCCCCCCGGCGGGTGCGCGTGCGCGGCGCTGGCGCTGCCATCCGGGTCCCTCGGTGCGGTGCAGCGGGTCGGTAGGCGGGAAATGGCGACTGAGCGCTGAGCGCCGAGCGCCCCGAGCGCGGACCCGCCGCCCGCGCCCCCCGCCCGCCCGCGCCCGGCCCCGCCCGCGGGCCCCGCCGCGCCGCTCCCCGGCCCCGCTCCCGCAGGTGAGTGACGCGGCGGAGCCCCCCGCGGGTCCCGGCGCGGGATCAGGTGGGGGGCGCGGGGTGGCCGCCCCGAGTGACCGGCGGGATGTCCCCTCGGGGCCCGCCCGCGCCGGGCCCCGCCGCCCGCGGACACCCCCGCGGCCGCCGCCCGGC